CCCCCCAAAAAAAGTATAAGCAACAACAACAACAAAAAACAGATACATTCATCAAAATAAAAATAAAAACTTTTGTGCTTTAAGAACACCATCAAGAAAGTAAAAACAGCCCAGCTGGTGTGGCTCAGTGATTGAGCATCGACCTATGAACCAGGATGTCATGGTTCGATACCAGTCAGGCACATGCGAGGGTTGCAGGCTTGATCCCCGGTGGGGGACGTGCAGGAGATAGCCAATCAATGATTCTCTCTCATCACTGATGTTACTATCTCCCTCCCTCTCCCTTCCTTTCTAAAAATCAATAAAAAAATATATTTTTTAAAAGGTAAAAAGACAACCGAATTTAAAAATAGGCAAAGGATTTTGAATAGACATTTTTCCAAAGGAGAAACAGGAACGGGTAATAACAACATGAAAAAGTGTTCAATATCACTAATTATTAGGGAAATGAAAATCAAAACCACAATGATACCACTTCACACCCATTAGGATTACTGTTATTAAAAAAGTGTTGGCAAGAATGTGGAGAAATTGGAACTCTTGTGCATTGCTAGTGAGAATGTAAAATGGTGCAGCTGCTATGAAAAACAATATGGCAGTTACTCAAAAAATTGGAAATAGAATTACTACATGATCCTGCAAGTCCACTTCTAGATATAGACCCCAAAAAACTAAAGCATTTACTCAAAAAAATATTTGCACACCCATGTTCATAACAGCATTATAGCCGAAACCGGTTTGGCTCAGTGGATAGAGCGTCGGCCTGCAGACTGAAAGGTCCCAGGTTCGATTCCAGTCAAGGGCATGTACCTGGGTTGCGGGCACATCCCCAGTGGGGGATGTGCAGGAGGCGGCTGATCGATGTTTCTCTCTCATCGATGTTTCTGACTCTCTATCTCTCTCCCTTCCTCTCTGTAAAAAAATCAATAAAATATATTAAAAAAACAACAACAAAAAACAGCATTGTAGTTCATAATAGCCAAAAGGTGGAAAAAAACCAAGTGTCCAATGACCAATGAATTGATAACAAAATGTGCTATACACATACAAAGGAACATTATTCATCTTTAAAAAGCAAGGAAATTCTGATACATACTACAACACAGATGAACCTTAAGGACATTGTGTTATGTGAAAATAAGCCCATCATAAAAGGAGAAATATTGTATGATTCCACTTATGACACACCTAGAGTATTCAAATTCATACACATAAAGTAGAATGGTAGAGTTGCCAGAGATAGGAGGAGTTTAATGGGTACAGAGTTTTAGTCTGGATTTATGAAAAGGTTGTGGAGACTGATAGTTGTAATGGTTACAATGATGTGTGAATGTACTTAATGCTATTGAACTGTACACTTAAAATGGTTAAGATGGTAAATTTATATTTGGTTAAGATGGTAAATTTATGTTATGTATATTTTACCACAATACATTTTTTAAAGGAAGTTTAGTTCTGCCCTGGCCAGTTGCTCAGTGGTTAGAGCGTCAGCCCATAAACTGAAGGGTCACAGGTTTGATTACAGTCCAGGTCAGGGCGCATGTGGGAGGCAACTGATCGATCAATGTATCTCTCACGTGGATGTTTCTCTTTGTCTCCCCCTCCCACTCTCCCCTCCACTCACTCTAAAAATCAATGGGAAAAATATCCTCCAGTGAGGATTAAAAAATAAAAATGTTGCCTAATCCTACCATGTCATTAAAAAATAAAGATAGCATGTTGATCATTATAGGTCAAAACATTATGAAGTCACTGATACTAAATTTGGAGGCACTGGAAAGCTTGTGCAACTTCCTGGATCTTATGGCTTCATCTTTTTTATTTTTTTACTCTTTATCTTTTCCATCATCATTTATCCCCTCTATATTCTCTTCTCCCCCCTGCTCCACCACTCCTCCCTGCCCCACCACAATCACCACACTATTATCAGTGTCCATTAATTTTGTGGCTTCATCTTAAAAAAAAGGTGGGTAGAACTGTTCCCAGATTAGTGTCTCTGGACCCCTGTGGACTTCAAATGTAATTTTAAAAAATCCTCTGGTTACTTTCAACATTTCCAAATAAAACCTAACAAAAGTATTCTTTTACCTTCCAAAAGCCTGCCCAGAGCAATAAAAAATATTTTTAAAATCGGGGTTCTCTCTTTCCTACAGACTAGAATTATAGGACTCCAGGGTGGACTTGCAGGTTATTAAAACCTTAAGACCTCAACATGTTCGTAGCAGCATTATTCCTAATAACTAAAAGGTGGAAACAGCTCAACAGCCCATCAACTGA